TTTCTTTCTTTTTTCTTTTTTTTCTTTCTTTCTTTCTTTCTTTCACTTTCTTTCTTTCTTTCTTTCTTTCTTTCTTTCTTCGGCTCTCTTAGAACAAGATTTTCTTTTTGACTACTACTGAACCCCTGTCCTCTCCTCTTTCTCTCGAATCTTCTCCTTTGTGAACTTTTATCACATGACCTCTAGTATGACATCTAAAAGCTCCCAGGCAGATGCTCCTCGTAAAATAATATCTCCAGAACCCATTAATTGAAAAACACCCGTAATTATAATCTGACATTTAAGCCGGTGTTTGCTTGGACCAACTTCCATGATCTACAAACACTGATTAACTTCCGCGGAAAACGCGAAGATAAAAAGTTCATTATCTTAAAACAAAGATCTCTTTGATAAACCTTTGCTGTAGTCATTATAATTCATATGGATCTTGATTTCGTGTGTGTGTGTGTGTTTGGCATATATACAAATACTTTGATTTGTTGTTTGCATAAAGCTGATGTCCTTTGTCACAGACACAATTTTTTTCCCATCTTATCTGCCTCGCCAATAATTCATATCCACTTTTGCCAACACCAATACATATGGACTCTCTTGGTCAGTCTTGACACTCTCTCGGTTCTCGAAGCACTTTCAGACAGTTCCCTCAATTTAGTTCATTGTTGTTAGAATATTATTCACATAATTAATGCCATCATAAATACTAGTTCTCCTGTTTCTCTCCCTCCACAAAACCTAACAAGATAAAATCTAATTCGATGTGCGAGTTACTAGCCCGGCTGACTAGCCACACTTTGAGCAACCTAGAGGTTGTTTCAGGGTATCGATAACACTTGAAGGTTGACCATTCTTTATTCTCCCTTCGTATGTTTTTCTTTCCTTTTTTTTATATTTTATATTTTATATTTTTTATTTTTATTTTATTTCAATGTTTAAAGGGTTTTCCATAATTGGCGTATGGTATCTAGAATATCTTTCAGATAAAATCAAATCCTTTGTCCGGAGATACTAAACCATAACAATTGTCAATATCCGTTATACACGGTCTTGTCAAAAATATTGTCACTTTTTCCATTCAGTTTCAAATGGCGGTCAGCATTCACACAAAGTGTCGCGTCTGTTTACTAATTATCACATGCCATTTAGGTGAAGCTAGTTAGGATGACCCCACAGCTGGGATTAGCCTTTTTTTAAGCTACCGCCAAGAAAGGAAAAGACTACATTCATGGAAACATCTTTTCATTCTTATTCCTTCTACTCTTTATACTAAAGTGATAAAAAAAGAAATAACTATTTAGGTGCAAATCTGCCATAACAATTACGGGATGAACAAAGAGATCAAAGCCRAATTTTCATCAACTCCAGACCCCTCTGAATCTCATGTAGTGCTGCAAGTGATGGTGGTGGTGGTTGTTATTACTGCAAGTGACGGTGAAAGTTATTGCTGCAAGGGATAGTGGTTTTGATTAGTGCTGCAATTGATGGTGGTGATGGTGTTTAGTGCTGCAAGTGAT